TTTAAAAAGGTAATTTTCCTCATTAATACAGCCAAAATTATTTTTCGTCTATTTTTTAATTTTCCAGTTTGTTTTGTGAAGACCCCCCAGCCTAACAGATGCTTCACATCTGCTAGGCAAAAAATGAGGACTTGTTTTCAGTTAAATGTACTCCTGTCTCTCTGTGCTCTGACATGGAGGTTTATTTTTATAATTTTTTTCTTTTCATTATTATTATTATTTATTTATTTTAACTTTACACAACTAGGTTTTTTCATTTTATCTTTTTTGATTTTGATTTTTGAATTCACACAGAATTTTGTTTTTGATTTTTTTTTACATCTTGTTTGATTTTACTGACCCTGATATACTAGCAAACAACGGGTGCACCCGCTAATGACATTCTGCTTTGGGGAAAGTCAACGGCAGTCCACCTTTTATACTTGGCTGTGGAATGTCCCAATTCTGCAGTCTGCTTGCATGTGAAACGTCATGTTTGCTTGTGCACATTGCATGTTAGTTTTTGCTCTTTATATCCATACTAAAACAATTTTGTTAGACAAAATTAGAAGCAAAACTCTGCAGCAACTATTTTAATGTGGTTAAATTTTGCCCGAAGGAACACAAGTGTAGTAAAGTTAATGTGAGGTTACTCTCTCTCTTACGAGAGCATTTAAAAAAAATTCTGACCAAAAAAAAAATGTTAAAGGATTTTTAGGCTTTGTCAGAAATAATAATTTACTGACTGCACCCAAAAAAATAAATAAATAAAAATGGACAAAAATAAATGTGTTAATCATTTTTTCCCAAAAAAGACAATAAAAGGGTTGAAGGCTTGTTGAGCTATAAATTCTCAAAAATGTAACATTTTTTTAAATTAACAGAAGTTCTAAAATCACCTAAGTTTTGATTATGTTTTTGACCTTATCTCAGGTTCATTTATCTAATTCAAATGTATTCATAAAGTCTAATTTTCCCTTTGTGTACTTAAGTGCTGTAGGGTTTTATGGGTTATGAGCTTGACAAAAACATTTTGTATTCACATTCAGGAAGGCATCGCTTGATTGGTGACTGGCAGCAATTAGCATACAGTCGCACATTGAAAGAAGCAAAAGCTGTGAAATAGCTTTTCGTCACCATGAAGTAATTCTGCTATCAGCCACTTGAGATGCTCTTTTAAGGTTTTCTCATTTTTAAGAATAACATTCTTCTTCTTTCGGTTTTGCCCTCTTCAGGGGTCGCCACAGTGAGTCACCCTCCTCCATCTCACTCTGTCCTCACTCCAACTACCTCCATGTCCTCTAACTGCATGCATATACTGTATCTCCTCTTTGGCCTTCCTCTTTGTTTTTTTCCTGGCAGCTGCATCTATAACATACTTCTACCAATATATCCACTATCCCTCATTTGGACATGTCCAAATCATCTCAGTCTGGCCTCTCTGACTTTATCTCCCAGTTGTTGAACCTGTGCTGTACCTCTGATGATCTCATTCCTAATCTTATCCATCCTTGTCATTCCTAAGGAGAACCTCAACATCTTCATTTCTGCCACTTCCAGTTCTTAGGTGATTTTTAAGAATAACAGAAACATCTAATTTACACTTTTTAGTTTCTTGTTTCTTAATGTTTTAAAATATCAGAGAATTGTGCAATTTTTAAGGAATTGCGTAAAACAAGTTTAATTATGCATCACGTCACTTCAAACTTGAGTCCTCTACCAGAGGCTAGAGAGGACTGGACTGAAGGACAGCACAGAGGCACTAATCATGGCAGCACAAGAACAGACCATCAGCACACTAGCAATAGAGATTGGGGTCTACCAAACCAGACATCACCCAAGATGCAAGCTGTGCAAATATGCCCCTGAGACAGGTCAAAATATATTAGCAGGGTGTAAAATCCAGGCAGGCAAAGCATACATGGAACACCATGAACAAGCAGCTGGAATAGTGTACAGAAACATCTGTGCCAAGTATGGACTGGAGGTCCCACAGTTGAAGTTGGAGACTCCACCAAAGGTGGTGGAGAAAGGCAGGACTAAGATATTGTGGGACTTCCAGATCCAAACCGACAAGCAGGTGATGGCTAACCAACTGGACATTGTGGTAGTCGACAAAAGAGAAAAGAAGGGAGTGGTGATCGATGTAGCAATCTCAAGTAACTGTAATATCAGGAAGAGCAGGAGACGCTGAAGAAATACCATGGGCTGAAAGAGGAAATTTGTAGAAAGTCAAAGCAGAAGTAGTCTAGTCCGAGTGGTCATTGGACCACTTGGTCCTGTGACCCCCAAAAAGGAAAAGTGTCTCTAACAAATCTCAGGAACAACCTCAGAGATCTTTGTCCAGAGCAGCACAGTCCTAGGAACAGCTAAGATACTGTGCAGACCCCTTAAGGTTCCGGGCCTCTGGTAGGATTTGTATATATATGTATACAAGTGTATATATATGTATATAAGTATATGTATGTGTATGTATATATATATATATATATATGTATGTATATATATATATATGCATATAAGTATATGTATGTATATATATATATATGCATATAAGTATATGTATGTATATATATATATATATGCATATAAGTATATGTATGTATATATATATATGCATATAAGTATATGTATATATATATATGCATATAAGTATATGTATGTATATATATATATATATGCATATAAGTATATGTATGTATATATATATATATATGCATATAAGTATATGTATGTATATATATATATATATATATATATATATATGCATAT